CTCCGCGATTTGCGAGTCACTGTGGACGGAATACACTGATTTCCAACAACTGACAGCCCAAGGTCATTTAAAACTGAAGATAGCCGTCACAAAAGCACACTTTAACCGTCAGATTAAATACCTTTTGGATCTGAAGAAAAATAAAATGTATAGATTAAAGGGAAACGAGTGGAGGAATAGCAAAACTGCCATTGAAAAAATAAATAATGTTGGTGCGTTATTCTACAGCTTTTAAAATTTCCAGAACGACTGGAAGGGTCTGTCATGAGGGCAGTTGTTTTGAATAGTTTTTATTATTCGGTTTTTGCTATTTAATTTTCGCATTTTATTACGCTTTCTGGTGGCAAAAATATGCAATTACTCTCCCCACCCGTTAAGATCGCTCGTTTATCCATCATTTAAAAAACACTTTACAACTGTAAAATCTTTTTTGTTCACTCGAATGTCCTGATGAAAAATTACTGTTTTCTTATCAAAGAAAACAATAGTGCCAGTAAAAAGCGTTAAAAAATCGAAGACAAGGGAAAAATACTGAAACAGTAAACGTAGAATTTAAGTATTGTCTATGTTTTCGCTCTCTGTTCAATATTTATTCGCTATTTCGTCTCTAGCAGTGTTGTTAAGGCAACTAGATATCACAGGAAATATGTTGTTGGCACAGTTGGTGGTTGATATCTCCACGAACTGGTGATATTATTTTTCTTGTTATGATTAAACTGCTTTAGCTGAGAAACGCATTATTCTGAAAAGTAGCGCTTTTTGAGATTATACCGTCTAACTTCCTTTAGGAGAGATAAAAGGTTATTTCCATAAGAGTTCTCTCATGTATCTTCCGTTTTCATGATGAAGAAGATACTAATTAAACTCTGAACACCATTAGCAAGACATAGAAATTGGTTTAAATGATTTTTGTCTGCTACGGCTGTTAGTTATCCCCTGGGAAGCTAAAATGTGTTTGGAGAAACAAGGTTGGTAAGTACTGGATCGTGTTGCCGAATCGGATACAAATTTCCCTTCTTAATTTCATCCGAAAAATAAGCTATCAATAAAATCCAAGATCATCCGCCAGATTGTTGTGGCAGAAGGGACGCGTGTAACAAGCATATTAATTTACTAATCGTAATTTACTTTGACACCCACCGACTTCTGCTAAAATATCGCAAAACAACATGGCGAACTCCGCCATATTGTTTAACAATTGAGGAGGGCTGGTAATCATTCTCGTCCCCAAGCCACGCGATAACCTCGAGTAAGGAAATCCCGATTATTCTGCGCTTGCGTAATCGTTAAGCTTATGCTCTGATGTGTTCACTTGCTATACTTGTGCTTATGCCTATGCGCCTGTGAAAACCAGCGTTGAGGGAAAAGCTTTCCGCTTAGAAAATTATTACGAAGACGGTGTTTAATTTACTTGCATTTACTGAAATTAGAAGTTTCATTTTTATTCCCCAAGTTTCTTTTAACCTGAGCTCAATTCTTGAGTGATAATTGAAATAAAATTCAAATGCTGATATATATTAAAAAAAAGAACAATTTGCAATTATCTTTAGTACCACCAGGTTTAACGTATTTTTTTCTTTTTTACGTCTTTTTACG